GAATCCAGAATCCTGAGAAGTAACAGTCCTCTGAAGCTAATTTCCCAGATTTTCAAGATTTGTCAACGTAACAGGAGCTCATTAAATGCTCGAGAAATTATTTTTCCTTAGTATGACAAATAGCCTGGAGTTCAACCATTTGTAAAGTAATCTTACCAAAATCATGTTAAGCTCTCCTGCCTTATTTCATAGAGTATGGTGAGGCTGTTGTGGGCATGCGGGTTTGCAGCAGCTTTCATGAAGCCCTTGTTCTATTGACAGAAAGCACAAGGAGAGAAGCATGACGCTCACTGACCCGGCCCTTCCTATGGAAATGGCTAAAGATCAGCAATGGGAAAACAAATTTGGGGGTACTGAACAGGGTTCAAAAATGTTTAATGGGATACATTTAAATTTCCTAGCAAAATTAAGAAAAATTTTATCTGCACTGGCTTTACTTGATAATATGAATAAGAGAAAGGTAGGTTCCAAATGTAAATATTCTAAAAGGTCTGTGCTAAATATTCCTCTTCCGGGCAAATCTAACCTTAACTTTCTATCATCTGGGAAAAATGGACAGAGAGCTCAAGAAAACCCTTCTATTGATAGAAATTTGAGGGATTTCTTTTTAAAAATGGGTGTGAGATTTAGGAATATTTGATTCAGATTCAGGTCTGAATAGCTGTAGTACTTTTTAAAATCCTTGCTAAGAAATCTTTACTCCATACCTTTGCTTTGGTCAGAAATCTCTCTTTGTCGATAATAACTGCAAATTCAGCAGGCCATTTGTTAAAAAATGTATGTAGAAGAAACAAACCATATACAAATACTAGATGATTATGTACAAGTCTGAGAACAAAAGAGTATAGCTTGTCAAAACAAACTTTGTTAAACAGAATTTTAGCAATATCCAAATTATTAAAGGAAAAGCAATTCCATCATCAGCAAAACACAAACACACCCAGGATCTTAGAGACTCAGATGAAGGTTTGTGAAAATGACACCATTCAGGTCACTGTGAAATGAGTGTTAGCTAAATTCTGGTTCTCTTTATGAAAAGGAGAAAGCAGAAACTAAAAGAAGACAGCATCAAGCCATGGAAGTGAGCTCCAGACTAAGTGAAGGAAAATAAAAAGGAAATAGAAATGATAGATTCAATCCATAACTGCATTTGATGTATCAGCCCTGTTGGGGTAGGGCAAGCTCAGTGGCATTTAGATGGCCACCAAAAGCGATAATGGGCTAAACTCTTCCTCATAATCAGTTCTAAATTAACTGGTTGTCCCTTGGGGTCTTCTTTCTCCCTTCCCAACTACATCTGATTTACCAAGGCCTATAATTCCACCTCCAAAGTGTCCCCATAATCAAGACCCTTCTCCTCATCCCAGGACATGGCCATAGTGGAAATCCACTATAGTGGAAAAAGAGTGGGAATGAGTGTTTTGGGGTCTCTCCCTTTCAATCCATAATCAACCTGAAACACTGCCTGCCCTTTTATAATTAATAAATTCATATAAAAGTGTGAGGTTATTTTATTATTAATTTAAGAATTAAGTGTGATTTTATTTTTAATTTAAGAATTAAGAATGTAATTTATTCTTATTTCTTTTCATTAAGTATTTTCTCAATAACAGACACTGAAAGCATAATATGCTATACAATATAGGATAAAAACTATTATTCTCAGTAATAGAATTTGGGAGCCTCAAACATTCATCTTTCCACATTGTTGAGGCCTAGAATGTTTCACTGTTGCTACCAATGAGAGATAGCCCACTCCATCATCACCCCAAGATTAGTTATATAGTTACAGGTTAACCCACAGAGACTTCTTGCTTTGAGCTGTTTGCCAGATCCTGTGTACTGCGGTGTCCTCTCCTGTCTTGAGCCCCTGCCCATGATGACAGGAAGGAGCTGTAATAAAACTGGCCTGGGAGCTGGCCTAGAGACCCAGACGCTGGAAAAATCATTCACCTCAGGTGTGGTTACTCATGCCTGTAATCCAAGCACTTTGGGAAGCCAAGGTGGTTAGATCGCTCAAGTCCAAAAGTTCGAGATCAGCCTGGGCAACATGGTGAAACCCAGGCACTACAAATAACACAAAAATTAGCCAGACATGGTGAAAACCAGTCTCTACAAATAATACAAAAATTAGCCAGACATGGTGGTGCACACCTGTAGTCCCAGCTACTCAGGAGGCCAAGGTGGGAAGATTACTTGAGCCCAGAAGGCGGCGGTTGCAGTGAGTTGAGATTGCCCCACTGCTCTTCAGCCTGGGCAACAGAGCAAGACTCTGTCTCAAAAACAAAACAAACAAACAAAAAAAAAAAACATTCAGTAAGTGCTGAACAAGGACTCAGTTGTTTTACTGAGATGAATGTTGGAAGACACATGGAAGAGAGCCATGTGGTGGAATAACAAGATCCTGGACAAGTTTCTAAAATGGGAGGTGCTAATACAGAAGTCACTCTACCCATCCAGTTTTCCATTATGCACACAAAAAAATACTGCTGGTGCATATGTGAAATACCCAGCACACACCTGACATAAAAGATGCTCAATAAACACTAGTTCTCATTCTTTTCCACTAGTCCTATTCCCTAGCATCAGATGATTATTTTAACAAATTTATACCAAGCTGCTCCTATGGATAGCCAAGTGCTAGTTGATAGAAATAAAAAGACAACAACAACAACAAGTATTTCCTGTTCTTATGGCCTAGCTACAATAATACTAAAAGAAAAATACACAAAATCACATAAATTAACCAATAGTGTTTCTTCTGTAAAAGTTCTTCCTCTCTTTTAGGTATCTGTCTTCATGTGAATAGCCACAACTTCTAAGGTTTCTAAATCTATGAATACAACTGTCATACTATTCTAGAGGAAAGAATATTAAGAAAAAACGCTATGTACCTCATATAAGATGTATAAACAGGCCATGCTCATTGCAGTGAATTAACAAAGTACAAGTGATTCTGGTGCTGCCATACTAAACATGCAAATTACTCTAACCTAATATGAAGGTTTACCAAGTAACTTGCCAGGAAAACACATTGCATGCCTTCTTCTCACCGCCGTCATTCAACCATCCCTTCCATGGGCATCTGTCTAGTTTACTTCAGTGTGAGATGGTCAGTGTGGTGCTGTATTTTGCAGCAGTATATGGTTTATAGGTAGTTGACTATTTGCTTTGATGAAAAAAAATATGTTTCCAAGGCTTCTAGTTTCATAACTACTATTTATTGTATTGTCTTTTCCTTATAAACATCTGTGCAACACTCAGATAATTGGGTTAGGAATATATCCAAATGGAATCTTTGGAAATATAGCCAGAACATAGGTTATAATGAATCATGGCAAAGGGTGGTAAAGTGCACAGCATGACGACACACACCAACAGATGAGCACACCCTCATGTGCACACATGAAGGAGACCTTATATCTGAAAGAGCAGTGACATTCAAAAAAGGTGTTTAACAAAAATGCTGGGAAACACATGGGAAAATTTAGGTTGAAATAACAGGGCTCAGCTGTGGACTTCCTATGACATGTTCTTTTCCACCTTTAAGAATTTTTACCCTATTTTTTTCAAACACTGCCTATTCTAATTATAAACTCTGCTTACTGCTTGGTGGAATAGAGAATTAATAAACCAGATGAATTTTATACACTTACTCAAAATAACTTTACACCCAAATCTCAACAATAATGAATAAGCTCATATATTTAAAATAATTGGGCCGGGCACAGTAGATCACAGTAGATCACGCCTATATTCCTGGCACTTTGGGAGACTGAAGCTGGAGGATCTCTTAAGCTCAAGAGATTGAGACCAGCCTGAACAACAAAATGAGAACTATTTAAAAATAAATTAAAAAGTAATAATGTATGACACTAATGGAATAGTAGAATTTTCCTTAAAATGTTCCTTTTCGATGCTTTATAGCAAATAATTGGGAGAAATAAAAAAAATAAGGGAATCAAAAACCATAAAATGAGTAAAAATGGAGATTCTATTCAAGCAAGAGTAGGTTTATACTCCATTTCACCTAAATTGTACAGGCATCCTCCACCATTCTGTAACACAACTGGGTCAGGCTGCCAAGTTAGCCTGAACTTTATTTTACAGTTTTCACTGCTATGATTCAGCAATTGCCCATTACTTTCAAATAATCAAGGCATGGTTGAGAACACAGACAAACTACAGTTTCTGCTCTAAGAAGCATATCTCTTAGCATTCATAGTTTATACAAAGAGAAATATTTGAGTGAATCTTAACTTTTCTATGCTTGATAAGGAAAGAACATTTAAAGCAATAGGGGCAAATCATAAGGTTCTCAACCAAAGTTGCCAGATCCTATAAATTCCTTCTGGTTAGTTCCCAGACACTTTGGGGGAGGATTCCATACTTGCAGTCTAATGGGAGAAGAATGGATAAGTAATAGCTACTAGAAATATACTTCAGAAATATGGTGTTAATAGTGCTTCCCCCTAGAAGACGTGGCAAAGGCAATTTATGAACAGGAAAATTTTTCCCTCATTGAGAAAGGCGGCCTCACGTAAATTATACGATGTTTTCCCCAGTCTTTACAAAGCATACCCAGCTGAAAGTGGATCTGTAGAAGATAGTTGTTTCTAAATCACCTCAAAGTCAAATATTTTATTTTTCAGCATCATTTAAGAAACACATTAGTGACCTAAACCTGACTGAACCACACATCAGAGTTATGAGGATTAAACACCTGGATCTCTTTAATAGCAACTTCAATATAATCATCAGTATCCACAGGGCTTTGGAATATTAAAATGGTAAGGTATGATCCCAAGCAAAGCTTCAGATGAATACCTCTAGCACCATGTGAGGTTTGGGATTTAGAATTTGCCAAATAATAGAGTATAAGCTAAACAGCCATTTACATTCCAGCACCTGCCACTCATTATCTGCATCTATTCGGGCAAGGAATTAAAGCACTCTTAACTTGGGTTTCTTATCCTCCAAACAGGAAAAACACTACTCACGTGGCCCAGTTCACATAAGATTGTAGCACCAGCAGCAGCAGCAGTAGTAGAAGCAGTAGTAGCAATACAACTTTCATTTTTTGAGTGCTTACTCTGTGCTGTGAACTGAAAACAACATGGTGAGGTGGGATCCCATGTTTTATAGATGAGGAAGCTAAAGCTCGGAAATAAGAGCTTGCACAGGGTTGCACAATCTGTTACTGGCAGAATCTAAGTGTGAACACCAACTTCTCTGACTTCAGAGGTCAGCACCTTGTTCACATCTCAAAATGCATTCATATAAATCCTCTAATGAGGTAATGCTATTGACTGCACACTGTAAAGGGCAAGGCACCACAGTCATGTAATGTGTTACTACGATATATTTTTAAAAGTTGCTAAAATGTATTTTCTATTGGATACTATTATACTGGATACACTACTATTGTACTGGATACACTACTATTCTTAGGAAAAGCACATCAACTCAAGAAACTATGGAAAAGGCATGAATGAATATGCAACTTAGGACCTAAAACAATGGAAAAATAAGACAAATAAAACAGATGTGACAGTCAGTGACATCATTTTGTACATTTGCGCATTCACTCACATGTGCACAGAGCCCCAGCCCACAAACATCAAATATCTCTCAAGATGTCAATGGAAGTTGCTGAAAGCATTACAAAGAGCTGGGAGATTTGTTGTGTATGACTCCACAAGCCAATGCTAACGACTTGGCAGGGTGCTCACAAGAGGTTATTAGGGACACAGGACAAGCACGTTAGGCTGCTAATAGCCTGTGGCCAAGTCTCTCAGGGAAAACAAAGTGCGGCAAGTTAGCAGAGCTGAGCATCTAGACAATGCTTTAGCCTCCTATTTAGTAGCCAAAAACAATCATGGTGAACTGGAAAGGTAACAAAGACATATCAACTATCTCTATACTCTAATAATATTTCTAAGCATTTAAAACAGAGGAAAGATTTCATTCGCCAAGGACAGGTCAACAGAATTACTGTATGGCTAAATTCACATTATTTAGTTGCAAACACTCTTTTCTCAGAAAATAAGCTCAAAAAAATTGTTCTCTGTATTTTTCCTCTACTTTTCTGTTTTTTTCTATGAGACTGTCCTCACTCCTTCCAGGGCCCCCAGGCTGTCCCTCATATATCCCACCTAAGGCAGCAGAGTCCCAAAAGCTCCTGGCCTTCCTACCTCTTCCTTGACTGTGCTGCTGCTCTGTATCTTCTAAAAGAAATAAATAACACCCCAAGACCACAGTGTACAGTTTCATAGACTGTTCACTACATAATCTCAGGTGGTGATCCCCTGCAGAAATGATTTCACTCTCACCCTGGATATGTGTAGTGCATGACATGTGCAACCAAATTCAGCAGCCCTGTGTACAGATCCAACACCAGAACAGGCATAAAGAGTTTTCTGCATTCATTTGTTCATTCACTCATTTAGCTCATACAGATTTATTGTGTATAATGTGCACCAGACAATTGACAGGTCCTAGGCAACTACCAGTAAATAATTGTGTGCAATCCCTGCCCTCAAGGAACTCACGATCTAGACAGGTAAACAATGTGTAATATTACAGAAGAATGTTATGTCTGGGAGGTATTCTAAAACAGGAGAAAATACAGATAAATTCTTAGCACTGAAGAAGGGAGAGCACATCTTACCACATTGGGGTTGACCTTATGTCGAAAGCATGTGATGTTCACAACATAAGGCCAATCATCAGGCTCCATCAGTACCCCAGCAGCATGGGCACAAGTGACATGGAAGGAGGCCGGGCAGCGACCATAGGAACACTGGATGCAGGCTCCAGAGACCCTCTTAACCCGGTGTCTGCAGAAGATGCATTTCTGGAGGGTTAAAATAGAGAAGAACATCAATTCACATTCTGTAATCCAGTCAGTTTCCACAATTTACAGAATAATAGCTACTAGAGAAGAAAGAAAACAAAACAAAACTGATTACATCAACAAGGCCTGACCCTCCAGGGGCCCTAGTGGTAACAGTATCTGTGGCAATGTAATGTACTTACTTTAAAGGAAACATACTGCTATGGTCACAGACTATCAGATATACGTTTAACTATTTCTTGTAGCAAGGAAAGTCAAACACTTTTGCACATGCTCCTGCAGGCACAGAGCTCAGGAAAAGACCCCAGAGGTGCTCCTATAAACAATCCATGAATGCTGACGCTACTTCTGTTTTATCTCCTGTATGGCAGGTCTTTCTGTGCATCAGGAAGTAGAATATGGGTTTGGAGAACGGGTCATTCTTTCCTAAATTAGATGAGGCCTTCAAAACACCCAAACAGCATAGGGACAAGTTAAGTTTTCCAATGACAAGGAAATGTAAAGTGTTAAATGGTCCAACGTGGAAAGTAGTGTTTAATAATCCAAATCTGAACCCTTCATGACTGACAAAAATATATATATGCTTTCCAAAGTGAGAAAATTGAAAATCACCCCAAAGGGCATAATTTGGTTAAATATCTATAGCTGATGATGCCTAGGGAAGAGATGAAAATAAAAACAGCAATAATGATTACCACAATTCAAAAATTAAATTGCATACAATTAGCCCTAAACATTATCAGTACATTTGTTATGAGAGATAGAGAAAATCAAATAGCTTCACTAAATGTAAGTTGTGAACTAATACTGGAGGGTTAGGAAAAAATGGTTGTACAACATCATAGGGTCAGATCTGGAAAGCAGAAGCAACAATGATCAAAAGCTCAAATTTTCATTCCCAAGAGTAAAAAGGGTCTGAAATCTGATCAAATGTTAGTGCTCTTCTTTTACAGGTACATTTTCTTTCCTGCAAAAATAAAGGTACTTAAACTCAACCCCCTCTGAAGACTAATACTTTATCAGAGGCTTGCAAGAACCAACGTGCACTTAACTTCTAACTTTTCTTTGTCCTCACATCTGATCAGTGACTTAATCTTACAGATTCTGTCCCTTAATTCTGATCTCTCCCTACCATCTATACCAACTGCCACTGCCTCCGCCCATGGTGTCTTGCCTAGCATAGTAATAGACTCCCAATGTGTATCTCCATCTTTTATTTCATTCTATCTCCATTTGTCTTCCCCAAAGCTGCCAGAGTGATTCTTTACCACATGAATCTCATGTCACCACCACTATACTTAATATCCTTCATATAATTAAAGGCTTGTCTTTATCTCCAAGTCACTTAAAAAAAAAAGGGGGGGGTAAAGCATGAGGTGGACGAGCAAAGCTTATAAAAGGCCCTTTGTGGCCTAAGGGTTATTTCTCACTAGTACCCGTAAGGGCCCTAGACTTTAGACACTTATGTGGGTGGCTTCCTTATACATACAGATTCAATGTACAATTAAGCATTTTTAAGTGGAGGTTGAGGATGTGGCTTAGCTGATTAAAAAAATCACACACACATATACACACACACACAAATACACAGAGAGAACCATAAAACTAAAAAGACATCATAATCTGCATAAAAGCATTATTTAATATTCTATCTTGGTATCTCTTTGGCAATCCATGCTATCGGTTTCAATACATTTGTGGTAACTCTTAGTATTTTAACATCTTTTTGTCAGTTCCAATTATTTGAAATGCGATGGCAGATACAAAGGCAGAAACTCCTATCAGGAAGCCCAGGCATTTTCAATCTTTTAAGAGCCCAATTATATGACATAGAGGTCAGTGTTTGAATAAGTTAATATATTGACAGGTATATGAGAGGTAAAATTATGTCTTATTTTCCTAATAAGACCTTTTAAGAGTAGGACAGAGTATTGTGACTTAACTAATTAAAGCATTGGTATCTCCCAACCTTTGTCACCATTAACTTCCTCATTAAACTGAGACTCACCAAAAAGGGGTAAGAAGACAGAATACACTTATGACCAGAGAGGATTCAATCCTTGGAAGCTAGGAAGGGACTTGCCCTCTTCCCGGAGGACCAGAAGTGGTGATTTCTAAGGACAGAACCACAGTATATTTAGAAAATCAACCTAACAGTAAACTATTATAACCCAATGCTTTGCAAGATGTTTATTCAGAGTTGAGAACTTAAACATCACACAGGTTCTCGTAGAGACAGAGAACCCCACAAAACCTATGAGAGACGCTGTTGTGAATGTAACCTGTAAGATAGTTAACATGGTATTTTAGATCCCCATTTTCATCTGCTTGTTGCTAAACTGGTTTTTTTCCACCTGGCTGAGAAAAATCTCTGGAATTTGATGACCACAGACACTCCGGCTACAAAATGGAATCTAGTAGGTTAAAGATATCTACGTGCACTTAAGAATGTTACAACAAATACGTGATATGAAAGAAGTAGGAATGAAATGCTCCATGGCACTAGAATAACATGAATAGGCATGGTACAATGAATCATGTCTGGTAACAACAGAGGGAAGAAAGCTTTAGGAAAAGCAAAGATGAACTGGATCAAAATGGTACACTCAATCTCTGCTACCATCTATCCTGGCCCAACCCCTACATAACTATACAGAAAAAGGATGAAGCCATAACAGCACTGACAAAAGACAGTGCCATCAGAGGACCAGAAAATTTATGGGATTCCTAGACCATGGGAAACAGGTGGAACTAAATCAACAGAGAAGTCAAAGTAGATAAGGACTTATCCAAAGTAAGCGTTTGGCAAAAAATATCCTTTAGGCAAAGGATACCAAAGGAGTAAGTATAATTCGCAGCCCTAAAGCCTCAGAGCCACCCCAAATCAAGAATTCACACACACACAAAAATCATAATTAAAAGTAGCGGAAACCCTGGGTCAACATGAGGTAATTATTTTAAAACAGTGCTACTCAGAATGTTTCTAACATGATGTTTTTAAAGATCTCTAGGCCTGGTGTGGTGGCTCATGCCTGTAGTCCAAGTAGTTTGCGAGGCTGAGGCAGATGGATCACCTGAGGTCAGGAGTTCCAGACCAGCCTGGCCAACATTGTGAAATCCTGTCGCTACGAAAATACAAAAATTAGCCAGGCATTGTGGTGGGCACCTGTAATCCCAGCTACTTGGTTGGCTGAGGCAGGAGAAATCACTTGAACCTGGGAGGCGGAGGTTGCAGTAAGCAGAGATTGCACCATTGCACTCCAGCCTGGGTGACTCCATCTCCCTCAATCCCCCCTAAAAAAGAGATCTTAATGTATACTGGGATTTGACAAACACATTTGCTGTAGGATAGGTGGGCTAGTTAATGTTTTCTCCATCCCTAGCCTACTGAGACACTGATAATTTTTCGTGAATTTTATATTAGAGGCAGGGTTTTGCTGTGTTGCCCAGGCTGGTTTCAGACTCCTGAGCTCAAGCAATTTGCCTGCTTTGGCCTTCCAAAGTGTTGGGATTATGGGCGTGAACCATCATGCTGGCCTTGACTTTGCCTTCAGAATAAAGCTATGAGAATTACTAGAAAACAAGAGTAAATAATATGCCAGGGCAGAGCTCCCATCTCATCTGAGAGTTAAGGTTGGAGAGAGAAGTAGAAAAAACCTTGAATCAATTCCCAAACTCCTCAAGACAAATGGAGTTTCTGTATAAAAATATACAATACATTAAAAAATAAAAATTGCAAAATAAAATAATATTAAAATATAATATTGAAAAGTGTGTGTTCTACAGGGAGGGGAATGAAAAAAGGTTAAAGAGCACTAGACCCCAGGGAGCTGATCACCCAGACAAAAGCTCTTAGTGGGTATCTCAGGCAGGACAGTTCTGGCAAGGCTGATGTCAAGAATAGAAATGGCTCTGGTCTACCCCAAGGTTCCAGCACATCTGGGTGGGGCCACCGAATTTGCATTTCTAACAAGTTCCCAGTGATACTGATGCTACTGATCCCCAGCTTACACGTAGAGAACCATAGGGTTAGAGAGTTAAAAACTTAAAAGGTGTCACTCATGCTGACAAGGGAATTAAGGAAGGGCAATTTTTTTTATATATACCTACTCTTCAGTGTCAAGGGTTGAGAGAATCCTCAGGCGGGTATGATTTATAGAGCACTGTACTTTCTTGGGGGACTGGATTTCCATACTTATTCCAGTGGCATAGGCCATTAAGGCTTCTAATGGATTGAGATAGTAATGAAGTATCCGGCAGTGAGGCTTTGTATATCATTAGATTTCCTTGAGCATCCAGCTTGGCAAAGGGCATCAAGAAATGATGAGCTGTGAAGGAGCTGGAGGTTCAAAGCACATCTCCTTCCCCCTTTTTCCTGTTAATATGATTTGTGATATTATTCTGTTGTTGTTTTGCCAGTTTTATGATTCTTTTCTCTTACACAAAGAGGCAGGTAATTCCGAAACAGGTGTGAATGCTTTTTAATTGTGGTTTCCCGATCAAACAAGTCATAGGCTAAAAATAATGATATATTAGCTAATTTCTTTTTCCTTTTGTTCCCTAAAGACACTTTTTCTAAGTACCACACAGCAAGCTAACATTCCCAGCTCAAACACGGCACAACAGACATCACTATTGTTGCAGGCAAGTCAGAGGACTCAGGCTAAAACCTTCACTTTGCTCCAAGTTCTTAAATAGAGGGTTCCTAATAGAATCCTCTGATTTTTAGCCCTACCTGTAAGATTGATGTTCTGCTCATTAGTATTCATTAAGTCAATCCCTCATGTGTCAATACTGGCTAGCACAGGGGAAGTCTGAGTTTTACAGTAAGGAGCATAGTCTAGTGGAGGAGACATGAGCCACAATAAAAAGCAGATTGGAACAACAGCCATTTGAGAGTGAGATTCAGAAGGAGAAGAGAGAGGAGTTTAACAAAAAGAAATCAATTTATCCAGTCAGCTAAAGAGTGGCTAGGGAGGGAAGGAAATGGAGGACACTGA